AATATGAAAATGAAAAGGCTTCCTGTAACAGTAACATAAAGAATAATTATAACATACGATAGTACAAAGGACAGCTGATAGATGTGTCTAAATTTGATAACAGTTTGTGAACAACCGAAACTCGAACCAAGAGCAAACAATATGGGAACTGTTGCGTCTAAACAAATGCACAAAACCGTGGATAACGGCTACAGTAATTAAATCACAGTAATTATAATGATAAATACAATGATAAGTAAAATAAACGTTATAGATATATGTGAACATTTCAGAATGTTACAGTACAACTTGAGTTACAACATAAGTTTGAAAATTGTTGAGCATACAACTGCTTACTGAATATAAATAAATAGTATAAAGCAACATACAAAAGCGTAGAAAAGGAACGTGTAGGAACAAAGCAAGACAAACTTAACAGCAACTTTCAAATGTTAGACTACTGATAATATTTAAGTATATTTTCATTTTGATATGAAAGAAAGAGGAACGAATAAAGATAAGAACTTTCTATTCAATTAGTTTTTCCTCATAGCTATACACTAATAAAACAAATGAATGGTTTACAAAAATGTAATCATATCAATATGTGATTGTAGAGATTATTATGTTTGTAGTGTGGTGTCGAGTCGCGGTTGACTATGATCACCACTACAGGAAGACTAGGTGCCAGTTAACCAACAAGATCCCTTGTAGGCCAAATATCAGAAGGCAGATGATGGCTGTAGTCGAGATGTATTTGCTGGCGATCTCGTGGTATCGAACGGATACCGAAATCGTGCCAGGTTACAAGTGGGGTTACTGAGCGTAACCGAATTCGTGTAAGGTCACAATCAACGGGAGAATGTATATATTTTGATACAGTTAAACAAACAAGTATAGTAAAACAATCACTGGTACAATTGGTTATAATAATAATTGTTTTCATTAAACCAATCGCGTCCTGTTGATAAAAGTAGGTCACTATATGTTTTTGATTGACATCATGAACCGGTTAATGTTAGATCCTATTGTTGGATTCCTCAACAGTGCGCATTTACGATCCCGCTTCACGTGCAAACACTTAACCTTTAGATCACTGAGCCAATTGGCATCCAACGGTATTAATGTCTAACTTCAACCAGTTCACGAAATTTAGCCATCGTCCACCATTGTCATCAGTGAGTTACTATCACAAAAAACGACCCAGTTGTGAACTCCACTGATCACAGCTTCTCACTAGAACTCCAGTAAATAACCCTTGGCAACAGTTTCTAGTGAGCAATGCCCACTGTTGAGGAGTCCCACAATAGGATGAAATAGCCATTCAGTGCTTCCAAGTTTTCCATAATGGTCTAGCTTTGGTTGACTCATGAATTCAATCATTAAATAACTACAATCTCCATATATGTATTTAAATGATGTACTGTTTATACAAATTTTATATATATAAAAGAAGTTCACGGAAGTATCTATATATGTTTACTGTTTCAGTTTAGAAAAAAATAATGGTGCATACTATGATGGATTAAATCAATTACTTGATCGAATTTCTAATAAATATTATGTAAGTTTGATAAGCATCGGATCTAATTTACAATGATTGTTAATGTTATAATAGAAAGAAAGAACATAAAAATATGTGTACAAAGGGGCATCAGATACATATGGGCCACATAATAATAATGAGGCTGTGAAGTAATAGAGAATGTAAAGTGCGTACAAGAAAAAGTTACAACAAGATCGTCACTAACTTCTATTCTAAACCATATCTGATAACTTCACAAGCCACTGTGATGCTTTATCTCTAGGACCCCAATTAAGAAATCATGAAGCATCATTAGAAGCCAGTGCTGTACAGCTTTCTTTCATACCGCGATAATATGTCATACACTGACCACCTCTCCACTTTTTTCAACCAGTCCCAGTGTCAGCAAATAATGCATGACATGGAATTCTCTAGGACGACATTTATATATCATATCTAAACCACCGAAATCGATGTTTCAAAATAGTGACATCAATTGAATTATTGTTGCTGTGCCCGAATACACGATACCGAACCTCTACATTACAAACATGATGTTGCCACTGGATGTTAACAATCCTTCGGAGACAACGATGATTAGACACAGAGAGTCGTCTAACATCCTCAACTCGGAGAGTTAAGATACCTCAAACATAGAGTAAAACTGCCCATTACTAACGCGTTGTAGATCTGATCTTTTACAACCAGACTAAAACCACGAATGTAACAAAGATGATCTTCACACTTAAAGTTTCACTCGTAACAAAGCAGATGAATCTGTGACCGATAAATAGGATTTACGTGCCTTTTCTATCATTTAATCAAACATAACGTATATTATTACTTAAATAACCTACTAAAACTTTATACAGAGTATAAATAAAACACATTCCTTCTTATCATGTTATAAACACATACAGATTTATGGATTCCCAATGAATTTCTCATATATGGAACCTGATGAAATTATTGCCAGAGTAAATCAAAAGGAATTCATGAATTAATTGGTAATGAATTCATAACAACATCTAATAGTATGAATCGAAGTCAGTCAATACAACAAAGAAGTTCACTGATGGGTTTTTCTAAAACTACATTAAATAGTGTAACAGATTCAGTATTTAATTCAAAACCATCATTAACTTCATTACGATTATTACAATCAGATTCATTAAATGTTCAATTTGCATTAAATGTTTATGTGAAAGCTTATCCAGGACCAGTTCTATCTATATGGATATATATGGCTGCATTATGGCGACGTACTATAACAGAGTTATCATAGTACCACAAGAAGAAGAAGAAGAAGAAGAAAAATCCCAGTTTCTAATGGATAATACTTCAGCATTTCATAATTTTGTAATAAACCTACACATGTTTACCATGAACTAATACAAATACGTGAAAAATCGTTCTTGTAAAGTAATAGAAGTAAGAAATAAAACTTAATATAGAATGAATTCACTTGGTGTTGTTTAATTGTCACTTACTTACTTACGCCTGTTACTCCTAGTGGAGCATAGGCCGCCGACCAGTATTCTCCGACCCACTCCGTTCTGGGTCTTCCTTTCCAGTTCTATCCTATTTTTGTTCATTTTCCTCATGTCTATCTCCATTTCTCGGCATAATGTATTCTTTGGTCTTCCTATTCTCCTTTAGTTTGTATCTTCCGATTATTGTTTAGGACTACAATTGTTGTCATATGGGCATCCTGTCTCAATATTGTCACAAGCTTTATGAGCAAAGATGGATAGTGGTTAACAGTGGAATCCACGACGAGCGTTTTTTCGTACTTGGGACTTGTCAGATGAATATACATGCATTTGGGACTCGGACCCAGTATCGTTTGCTTCAAAAGACTGATCAGTTGCAGTCCTAAACAGCAGTAATTGAATGTAAACTTCACCTCATCGCACAGTTTGCATGTCAATGTAAAGGTATGTATATTGGAAGGACAGAAAAGCAGGTTTTCATATGTTTTGTTGAAGATATTGCGAAGAACGTATGTTTTCAAGAGTAAGATACTCTTCTCAGATCTATAATGCTATATCTGACTGAGATCGAAGATGAAATGGACGAGATAAATGCATTCTACATCATCGAAATCCGAAAAAAGTCACAGCAATTAGAAGATTTAAATGTGACTTTTGAATTTAAAGTGTATCAGTGGTTAAATTTCACTCTTAAACAGTCCGTGTTGTGTGGAGTCCTATATTAGGACGAAAAGGCCAATCAGTGGTTCCAGATTTTCAGTAGCAGTCCAGCTTAGATTGACTCGTGAATTCACCTTTTAAAATACTACAATTTCCCCCAATCCCCATTCTGATAATATTCATATGCTCACTAGTGACAAGGTTCAAGGTGTAACCAGTTGAGTTCAATCCGTATCCGGTATGAGACAGTTACCCACCTCAGACAATGGACGAAGGGTTGCGTAGAATCAAGGATCGATTGAAATTAGACATTAACACCAATGGATACCGACTTAGAGGTCTAGAGATTAAGCGTTGTATGTGTGACCAAAGGTTCTTGGTTATATATCCATATGCGGGATCTTAGATAAACGCTACTGAGAAGTCCCATACTATATAAATAACTGAATTTGCAAACATTTCATTTTTCTTCATTTAGTGTTAATTAATAGTTATATATATAACCAATCTATTGAACAAGAATGGAATATACAAACAATGTAGATACTTTTCTAAGAGAATACAACTAATATGTATATACACAGTAATAAATAGCCCTCAAATGCCCTGGTACTGTCGAGAGTGGAAAGATTTCACTCTCCCTCTCGAAATGCTCTCACATGGTCACTTTCACAGAAGTTCTACTCACTGCCTTCTCATTGCGTGGGCTGTTGTTTACAAAATAAAGAGGATGAAAAGCGAATGTTCGACACTTTAATCGGGTTGGTGGACACGGTCTATCTAGGGCAGTTTGAAAACCCTGATTGCAAACTGATGGTGCTCATGGTCTCCAGTATCCTGAAGGAACAAATGGTGTATGAACAAACTGTTGGTAACCGGCTACCATGAAGCTGCATCGCCCTAGGTTGTTTCACTGTCTTGTAAATCAGACCTTCAGCTGGAATGATCTAGATGTTGCCCTCCCCACAGAAAACCACCTATTTTGATTTGGGCATCCAAGCAACATCATGGCGTACACATAAATCAAGTGACTTATGTGACGCATACCTTTTCAGTGCCTCATTGTACCTAGTCCACCAGGGTGCTTGGTATCTGTGTGGTCACGCCACACGATTGAGCTGTACTATCCAGATTTTAGCGTTAAAGCCTATACAATGTCTGGTTCTTCTGTGAAACAGGATTGAGTTGTACTGTTCGGGTTGTCATGTAAAAGTCTGGGTGATGTCTGGTTCCATCGAAAATCAATGTAAAATTACCCTGGCCTACAAGAGTATATTATATAACTATGAACTATAACCCCTTACTTACTTACGCCTGTTACTCATAATGGAGCATAGGCCGCCGACCAGCATTCTCCAACCCACTCTGTCATGGGCCTTCTTTTCTAATTCCATCCAATTCTTGTTCGTTTTTCTCATGTCTATCTCCATTTCCCGGCCTAATGTGTTCTTTGGTCTTCCTCTTTTCCTTTGACCTTCAGGATTCCATGTGAGGACATGTCTTGTGACGCAGTTGTGTGCTTTCCTCAATGTGTGTCCTATCCACTTCGAGCGCTTCTTCCTAATTTCTTCCTCCGCTAGGATCCGGTTTGTTCTTTTCTACAGTAGGTTGTTGTTAATAGTGTCTGGCCAACAGAACTATAACCCTATTGTACCAATGTTTATGTATTCAAATAATTAAATAAAAACAATAATAAATATTGATTAAGTCTATAATTAACTTAAGAGAAATCATCATCATACAACTTATTGTACAATCTCTTCTTCTTCTTCTTCTTTTCCCTCTTTTCTTTCTTTTCTTTTTTTTGTCTTTTTGTTTTTCATAGTAACTATGATGAAGTTGTTAATAGTTCATTTGCTGTTTTTTCTTTAAATGAAGTAAACGAATTGATACATAACTGAATGTATTGAATATGGTAATTATTAACCATAGTAATAAATAGTATAGAAAACGATATAGAATTGATAGTATATCAGAATCTGGTAATTCTATATAATCATTTAATGAATTTGTTATCTCTAAGCTAAAAAAAAGAGAAAATAAAGAAAAAAGGAAGAAAAAAAGAAGAATAAAGATGAATCAAGAATATTTGAATGATAACTTGACTGATCTTGAAAGTTTGATCAGCTCTAATGAGTTAGTGTGTTTAACGAAATCTTAGCATTGATTCGAAAAGTTTGTTTGGCTTTTGACAATTTATGTTTTTTTATGATGAAGGTGAGATATTCGTCTATCAATTAATGGATGAGTATACTACGCAGCAGTTCGTTCCGTTCTACTTTACGACTACAAAACATGGCCATTAAAAGTTAAAGATACTAGTAAGCTACTAATATTTGACCACAGATGTCTTAGAAATATTGCTCACATCTACTGATATCACCGGGTAAGTAATAGTGAGGTTAGACGCACGGTATTACGGAATGATGGTAAAGAAGTCGACGAGGTTGTGAATCTTCGTTGACTGAGATGGTCGGGCCACCTGTTACGTATGCGTGAACACCGATTACCACGACGTGCAATGCTAACCAGTGTTGGAGATGGTTGGAAGAAAGTTAGGGGCGGCCAAACTAAAACATGGCATCAGTGCTTGAAGTCACTAACTTCTAGTCTGAGCCATGTTGGTAGATGCAGAGTACTTGGTTGGGATCCGCGTGACAATCGTAACCAATGGTTGGAGACTGTGTGTGACATAGCTTAGAATCGATCATAATAACTAAGGTGTATACACTCTCTGTTTTCCTTTAAACTACGTACTAAATCTTCCTTCCTGTACTATATACTTATATGCAATCTTTCTTTTATATATTACCACCATTGACTTAACTACTCCTATGAATCCGGTGTTGATCTTGCTGTGCTATTGCGGTATGGCAACTTGGACGGATGCATATATGTACCTGGTCCTACGTTGTAGCTGACTAACTGACCGATTTGAAAGATGGGTTTAATAGAATGAATAATTAACTCTCTCTCTCTCTGTGTCTTACTATGTTCATCTACTACATATGGTTTACACTTGTGACAGGATGAGATATTATGATATTTGTCAAGTAGAATGTATCCAAAATAAATTATAGAATCGAAAAACAAAAAAAACTTCAATTGAGATCATGAACTGATTGATGTTAGACTACCATTCAAAACCTGGAAGCTTTGGACGGCTGTTTCATCTCAGTATAGGGTTCCTCAGCAGTGAACATCCTTGACCTCTTACGTCGGACTTGAACGGTGGACTTTTAGTCTCGTGAGCTAATGCTTAACCTCTAGACTACTGAGCCGGTCGGCATTCAACGGTGTTAATGTCTAACTTCAACTAAGCCATCAAATTGAGCCACCGTCTACCATTGTCATCAGTCAGTTACTCTCTCACAATAGACCCGATTGTGCAAATGTGGGTATATGTGTATCACGTGACCATATCATATATAATAAAAAATGAACTTACTATGCAATGTATATACTAATAAACATACAACAAGGAATGTATGAAACTAAAAACGGAATTCGTTTTGGTTTCCATAGTAATGCATCAGTAATAATCACGATTACGCCCATGGAATTCTGTCAAAATATATAAAAGTAATTGGAAATAGGAATCAATCATTAACGTTAAGCAATTTCAACAATGAATACTATAATAATTTAATAGTTCAATTAGTGAGTTAATTGAAGCTAGATCACCATGGAAAACCTGGAAGCACTAGATGGCCGTTTCGGTTGCGCGCGCGAACGTTTAACCTTTAGACCACTGAGTATCCAACTACGTTAATGTCTAACCTTAACCAATGCAAGAAATTGCGTGACCATCTTCCATTGTACTGAGATAGATACCTGCTTCTACCTGACATAGATTAGCTCCCTTGGTTACGGCTTCTCATTAGAACTCCGAGAATTCCTTCACGAAGTTAGTCACTAATAAACACATAGCCATCCAGTACTTCTAGGTTTTCAATGATGACTTAACATCAACCGATTTATGATCTTAATCAAAAACTTACTAATCTTCACAATCCCATACTTATATCAAGAATGCAGTTGAGATATTGCAAATATATTATTATTTATTATTATAAATAATCTATTCAGTGCTCATTATCAAGTTAAACGATGGTAATGATACTTACATAGTACTATTTCATATTGAACTACTCTAAATCTGATAGACATAAAGTTAAATGAAGTTTCTTTCTTCCCGTACCATTTAATTCATTACTTCTATGAATCTAGTGGTCATCTTGTTGTGTTAATGAGATATGGCAACTTAAACTAATGAACATATATACCTGGTTCTACGTTGTAGCTGACTGACTAACTGAAATTAACCTGATTGTCAAAGTTATTTGTTTGAACAGAGGTTTTTGTTTTTCTTATTAATTAATTGAATTGAAAGATTTTAGATTTATCTTCTTAATAATCTATATGAAAGAGAAATCTTGAAATACCATTGCTGGTAATTTCCATTCTAAGTTTCATAAAGTGTGTATTATCTACACTTTGTGTGAATTAATTGTTCTATCTCTATAATCTAATTCATAGTTGTAGGTTGAATATTGTGCAAATATGGGTATTTGTATATCACGTGACCATATCATCCATTGTCTCTATCATATCGTATTATTATTGTATATAGCTAATATCTTTACTTAACGTATTATCATATGGTGACATCGATTTTATATTGATCTATAAAACGCCGCTCAATATCCATTGGCCTGATACCATCAGCAATAGCCTTCTGTGGGAGAGAACAAACCAACTTCCAGCTGAAGAGGAAATTAGGAAAAGACGATGGAAATGGATAGGACATACATTACGCAAATCATCAAACTACATCACGAGGCAAGCCCTAACTTGGAATCCTGAAGGGAAGAGGAAAAGAAGAAGGCCAAAGAACACATTACGTCGGATAATAGAAGCAGATATGAAAGAGATGGATAGGAGCTGGAATGAGCTGGAAAGGATTGCCCAGGATAGGGTTGGATGGAGAATTCTGATGAGTGGCCTATGCTCCTTCACGACGAGTAACAGGCGTAAGTAAGTAAGTAATGAAACGCCGATCAATAGAACATCAGTTCATGATGGATGTGACAAGTTACTCAGTTAGATGATGATCTTCTAACTTGATCTATGGAATTCACGCAATAACTAAAAGACTAGACATATTTGATTAGTTGTCATTCAGTGACTGATTATTTTAAAAGGCTCAGTCTGATTAGAGGTGAGTTGCGTCCTGGATAATTCAACAATCACATTCTAATCTGTGATATCAACTTATACCATTTCGAATACTGCAATAAACTCTAGTTTCCTCAATACTGCAGATATTCCTTGCTGACAAATGTTAACCAAAATGAAACATTGATTTCTGGGCTTTTTACACTTTATCTGTAACAATCAACAATCTAACGTCAATTAATACATGATCTCAACCAAAAACTTAACAATCTCCACAACCCCCATACTGAGAATCTAAGAATAGTTTGTGGATGATGAATTATTGAAATCGATGTTAGTTATGTAAATTAATTGAGTCAATTTGATTAGAACCAAGTGCTTTACCAGAGTATCAATGGCTAGTAATCACTGATTAACGAATTGTAATCTTCTCTAACCTCTTTCATATGTATGTACTTAAATACGAGCCCCCAAATGCCGTGATACGGGTGAGAGTGGGGATAGCTAGCTCTCCTTCTCGAAACGCTCTCAAGTGTCACGTGCACATAAACACTGCCAGGGAGGTCCTACTCAATGCTTTCTCGTGGCGGGGTGTTGCTTACAAAATTGGGAAGACGAAAAGTGCATTTCCGGTGCTTTAACCAGGTTGGTGGATACGGTGGATCCACCTAGGGGAGTTGGAAAATCCTGATTCTAGACCAATGGTGTACATGGGCTCCATGATCTTAAGGAAGCAAATGGCATATGAACTAATTGTCGGTCATCGGATACCATAGGACTGCATCTCCTGACGTTGATCCACTACGTTGTACATTAAACCTTTGGGTCAAAGGTTTTGGATGTTAACCCCTAAGTAAACTACCTGCTTCTGTTTGGGCACCTGGGCAGTATCTCAGCCCTCACAAAAATCGAATGATGTACGTGGAGCATATTTATTTGGTGCCTCCTTGTACCAATGTTTATTAGTCTAAATAAACTTAAACACTACATATATTTGGAAGCAGTACTCATTAGTAAATCGAGTGATTGTATTCATAGTTTTCATCTAACAAGTTGAATCATTTGTAGTCAGCAAGAAACACAGTACTATTCAGGTTGTTTACTATTGATCACTTGTCGACTAGCTATGTATGTAATCCTGAGAGGGTTATACTCGCTAGCAGATTCGATCCCATATCACCCAGCTTCACGGTCATAGACATTACCATTGAACTATCTGAATTACAGTTGGGGACTTAGACGTATTGACTATTGGTCGATCAAATCCTTTAGGAAGCATTAGTTTTCTCAATATTTCAGGCACAAATGTCAGACATGTGCCAAATACCACGAAACCTGGATCATCCATAGTTTCCTGTCAACTAACCTAGACTATCGCTTTACATCTCAACAATGTTCAATCACTTCATACCATAGATAATTTGATCGATAAAAGTTGATCAACGATATGAAACATTTAATACACATAACTATGGTGACTACTAATTGATTAATGAATTATGAATGATTTTTTGATTAAGATCATGAACCGTTTGATGTTAGTCTACTATTGAAAACCTGGAAGCACTGAACAGCCATTTCGTCCTATTATAGGACTCCTCAACAGTTTCACGCATAAAAGCTTAAACTCTAGACCACTGAAACAATGAATAATTTAGAAATGATTATAAATTTAAGAATGATAGTATATAATCAACTTACAATAAAATGCAAATAATATAATGGTAATTTATTTAATTCCGGATTCTCGATTATTATATTTGAATCAATGAAATATACCATCCAATAGATATGAAATGATGTCTAATTGAATCCAATAATGAAATGATATAGATGATGTATATAAGATACTTACCAAAGTATAAGTAGCTATAAATATATATATACAACTATGTATTGTATATTGTTTATACCATTGAAATGGAGTTGATGTAATCAAGTATAATTGTAATAAACACTATAATAGAATAATATGAATCAATTATTACCATCATGAATATGCTTTGGATAGTGATGATGCTTTGCATGATGATGATGATGATGATGACGATGCTGTACATGATGATGATGATCGTTTGGATCATGATGATGATGATGCTTTGGATGATGATGATGCTTTGGATGATGATGATGCTGTACATGATGATGATGATGATGGTTTGGATCATGATGATGATGATGCTTTGGATGGTGATGATGATGATGTAATCAACTTACCAATATGATAAAATGTAAATATTTCATTAATCTTATTATATTTATAAATTGAATTGATTCATTTGGATATAAATAATAATGACCAATTATTATAGATAATAGAATATTGATAAAATTCAATGATCGATATATAATGGTAACAGTGAACCAAAATGTTTGAACTGGTTTCATTGAAAAAGACAAAATGAAATGTGATCAATTCAAGGAATAAGTAAAGTTCTATCCTTTTCTTTCCGGTATCTACCAGGGTATATATATACCTATTTTGTAGTACGATATTATATAATATTGATTTTAGTCTAATTAGTAAATTAATTACATTTGTATATAGTTAACTATTATCAGACATTATTGACCTATTATGGTGATGGTGATGACGTTGATAATGATAATCATCAATAGCATTCCATATATTTAGATCGAAGTGTTGAGAATTCATTTTTTGATTCTGTTTATCAATTTACTTACTTATTTACTTACTTACTTACTTACTTACTTACTTACTTACTTACTTACTTACTTACTTACTTACTTACTTACTTACTTACTTACTTACTTACTTACTTACTTACTTACTTACTTACTTACTTACTTACTTACTTACTTACTTACTTACTTACTTACTTACTTACTTACTTACTTACTTACTTACTTACTTACTTACTTACTTACTTACTTACTTACTTACTTACTTACTTACTTACTTACTTACTTACTTACTTACTTACTTACTTACTTACTTACTTACTTACTTACTTACTTACTTACTTACTTACTTACTTACTTACTTACTTACTTACTTACTTACTTACTTACTTACTTACTTACTTACTTACTTACTTACTTACTTACTTACTTACTTACTTACTTACTTACTTACTTACTTACTTACTTACTTACTTACTTACTTACTTACTTACTTACTTACTTACTTACTTACTTACTTACTTACTTACTTACTTACTTACTTACTTACTTACTTACTTACTTACTTACTTACTTACTTACTTACTTACTTACTTACTTACTTACTTACTTACTTACTTACTTACTTACTTACTTACTTACTTACTTACTTACTTACTTACTTACTTACTTACTTACTTACTTACTTACTTACTTACTTACTTACTTACTTACTTACTTACTTACTTACTTACTTACTTACTTACTTACTTGCTTAACTTAGTTGCTTACTTACGCCAGTTACCCACAATGGAGGAGCCTATGCCACCGATCAGTATTCCCCAACCGATTCTGTTCTAAGCCTTCTTTTCTAATTCTATACAGTTGTTGTTCTATCTTGTCATGTCTGTCCGAAACCTACTTTTATCAAGAGAACGCGATTTGTTTAATAGAAACAATTATTATTATAACCAATAGTACCAGTTATTGTTTTATTGTACTTGTTTATTTAACTGTACAAAAAGCATATATTCTTCTGTTGACTGTAACCTTGTACGCTCTCGGTTACGCTTAGTAGTTCCACTTGTACTCTTTGACACGATCTTGCTATCCTTTCGATACCACGAGATTGCCAACAAATATTATCTTATTACAATCGTCAACTCTCGACCTCCGCATTATAAGTACTGGAACTCAAAGCAACTGTCAACCAACACCAAGGTCAGGATTTTCAATACAAATGTCAAGACAGTTCTACTGTATGGGGGCGGAAACCTGGAGAACTAGGAAAGCCATCATCCAGAAAATACAGGTGTTTATTAACAATTGTCTGCGTAAAATACAGTTTCCGCTTCATACAGTAGTACTGCCTTGACTTTCGTATTGAAGATAGTGACTTTGGTGTTGACTAACATTTGTTTTGAGTTTCATGTGTTCTTCAGCAAAAAAGTGCAGCTTCTACTTTGCCAAGCCTTGCTTCACACCTGCATCACGTCCTCCTTGTTTATCGATAATGTGTGTCCATGTACGTGGAAATTTCCACACCGAACAAATCTTCTCTATCAAGTATGATTGGTTTGTTGTTCTCCACATTGTATCTGAGGATATTGCTTTTACGTTGTGTATTTTGAAATCTGCTGGTGCAGTGGCTGTTGTTAAAATGTATGTCATGACCTGCAATTATTGAGTAAAAAGTACCAGTTCATTGACAAATTTCATATCGTCTATTTGAACGCAAGCTGTCCATTGATTTCTCACTGAATCACAATATTCACTTTCACCACAAAGTTTTCTTACAATCTGTCAGCATGAATGCGGTCGATAACTACCCAAATATAATCTCCGATTCAAGTAAGGAAATAGAATAAGAAATTTCGAGACGAAATTATAATAATGACGGGAACGATTCATGACACAAATGATGGTGAGCCATTACACATATCAATACTCAGGTGTAACGTAATCTTCTACAATCCTTGATTACAATGTCCACTTGGATGACAGTACATTAACGGGAAAGTGATCATCATGGAAATAACACGATAATGATTAATTCAATAAGAACCATAATTGTCCATTGTTCATAACTGTATTTGTATTGTCTAACATCAACTCTACTTAGTCGTTACTACTTGTGTATAACATACTACTCACTGATATTCAACAGTTGATTTTTCTCTCGATAATTTTGAAAGTTGTAAATTACAATGTAATGTAATTGAAATATGTAGATAGTTCTAAGGTTTCATATTAATCACTGAATTTTCCACAAACCATAATGTATGTCCTATTCACTTGAAGAATCTTTTCCTAATTTCTTCCTCAGTTGGAAGTTGGTTTGTACTTTCACACAATAGGCTACTGCTGACAGTATGCGGACAAATGACATTGAGTATCTTACGCAAAGAAGTGGTAATAAATATGTGTAATTCCTGGATGATGGTTGAAGTAGTTCTCCAAATTTTATCTCCGTACTATAGAATTGTCTTGATGTTTTTATCGAAGATTGTGATTATTGCTGGATTGCAGACAATTGTTTTAAGTTTCATATGTACTTCGGCTGTCGGAATGGATTGGTAGTCAATGCCTTCACATCTTAATCAGATCCTACTTGTCCATCGACGACACTTGTCTATGTACGTGGAAGTTTGTACTTCAAACATGGCTACTCAATCGAGTGTGATGGGATTGTTGTTCTAAGTGATGTAATTCATAGTGTTACCTACTCATTTCGGTATGTTGAGGACTACTAATTAAGTGGGTATTGAAAAAATGATTATTTACTCCATTTCCTACTGTGAATGGGATAGAAAAGACAGGTGGAATTGGGAAGTACAAAAATCTAGTTGACTGAGACCTATCTATTGCACGCCCTGTTACACGAGGCAGCTCAGTTGTCCAGATCTTATTTCTTTCGCTAATTCATCAGCTAGCCTTCTTTCCAGTCTCTCTTACCAGCACCTCTTCTTCTTCTTCTTCTTCTTCTTCCAAAATCGTTCTCAACAGAACGTGTAAATTACAATGTTATGTAATTGAAATACGTAGATGGTTCTAAGATTTCGTATTCATCGCTGTCGTTACCATAAACCGTACACCTTAACATGAGAATGGGAGTCATATTTGGAATTTCGTATTTTGTCATTTTCTCCAAATGAATGCCAAATCACTTTCCAGAATGACCAATCTATGGAAATTCAGCATCGGCTGGACAATAGAAGTCGTGTAGAATAGGCACTGAGAAGGAATCTAGTGTAGATATTCGCCTAAGGCATATTAACATCCCATTCGTGTAGACGAAGAAAGTTCGAGCGTTATAACAAAAACACTTTGTGCTGCGATTTCACCATATTGATACAAATTGAAGAAATCAACCACTTTTATTTCAAATTAGATATAGTGCTGCATATCTGTATCTATGAATCAAGTTCTCTTATTGAATAGTTAGTTGGCATAACTTCCACATAAACGTACATTGTGAACGATTCATTTAACCTATGTAAACCTTCTAATTAAGCTGAACAGAAGTAGGTTTCAACTTTTAATACTGCTACATCTATTGGACCCAAATAGTATGATTTTTATAATTGGTAAACATAGAACAATGGTGATTGATCATTTGACCGATACTTCGTACACTTAAGAAATTCCTTAAAATGTACCAACATTTGTCTAGTACAGAATATTAATAGTGATTATATGATGAAATGTTTGATTACTTCCAGCGCTCTCAATCTGCTATACTTGAAGAGAGTTCAACTAATCTGTGAACGTATTGAACACTCAGTAACACAATGATCAACATGCTAACTATTCCTATACGTCCTAACCTTACCGACTAGCATATTAAAAGAGACATCGAACCAATAACATTTAAGTTTCTCCCCAGATGGGAAATGTGACATGAGGGCGAAAATGGGTGCTTTTGGCGAGAAAATAAAAAATTCAAATATTTTCAAATACAATTACAAAAATAAGGCATCTACCAAGTGAGTTCTCAAGATCTAACATCCCCATATACCCGTATACAAGTAGGACATACTCATATCAGCTAGTTCACAACTTCTACTATCATGTTGCCAAACCTACTAAGTAATCCACATTACAACATCATGTGAGGATATCGTTTTATTCATATGACCATATTACAGTAAAGAGAATGCACATGACAAATTTATGCACTTCATACATTTCAGCAATACACCTTTTCAGATAACTACACACAAATAAATTCAATGCTTAAATATTTACGTGAATAAAGACAACCTCTTAAACTGACACAAGACTAATAATTGTAGTCAGTCAGTCAGTAACAACGTGGAACTTCGTACGTACCTACATCAGTTCGAGTTGACATGTCACACTAGCACAGAGACGCAGTTATCGATTCAAATCCCGTCGTGGAAGAGGTAGTAAAAGTATAAATAG